AAAAAAAAAAAAAAAAAAAAAAAAAAAAAAAAAAAGTCAATTTTCAATAAGACATAAATAAGCCTTTGCTCAATTATCATCACATTAGTTAAGTGCAAGAAACCATCTCTTAAGTCAGACAAAAATGCTTCACACAAAAGCAGACAACTGGCACTTATTATCAAAAATAAAAAAAAATTCTACTTTCCCGTAGAAGAAAATACACCTAAAAATTTACAAACCAAGAAGAAAAACAGGCCCCCGACCTTAAGCATCTACGACCTCAACAATATGACACACTTCGTAAAACAAAACCTTGACAACATCTAAAGAAAGCAACAACGACTTAAGCTCAATATTATAGTTCAAAAAATTCTTTGAAATGTTTTATTGTTTCTTCTGCATATAAACGCACTATAAATTAAATTCAAACAGAAAATATTCATAGTTTCATATCAGTAGTAACTCATATACGGATTTGGCTGATAAAAATTTGCCATAGAATCATGCACAACATACGGTTTCACATCCGGTGCTTCATATTTATTTAGCTCAAATGAATGTAAGTTTGGTGGCTGCGACGGGGGCGGGAAGGTCTGGTGCTGGGTGTTAGAGTATAGGTGCACCGGCCACGAAGATTCTACCACATTTGAAGCTGGATGTTCTGGTGCTGAACTGTTTACACCGTTCGGGGTTTCCATAGTACTTGCAGTCGGCGAAGTCATTGCACCTTCAACCGAACTGCCGCCTTCTTCCTCTTCAACGCCATCATCCGAATTATCCCTTTCGCTGGCAAAACCATTCTTCGTTTGCTTCTTGTGCTTTGACCTCCGATTTTGAAACCATATTTTGACCTTAAAAATGATGATATTTGATCCAACAAAACTGCTTGATTACAGTAAGATTTTTAAGAAGATAATAAAATTTATACGCATAAAAGAGAGATGGATAGGAAAAGAAAAGAGGCAAAAAGGTTCAAGTTTAGAATTTGCTGACGAAACAACAAAAAACTTTGTCAGTCCGCGGTCACTCATTCATCCCATAATCATTCAACAGACAAAACGTCTGGTAATTTTACAAGTAATGATTAAAAAACTGTATGAGAGTGATAGTTATCTCTACTAAAATAATAGCCAAAAAAAATAAAAAGATGCAATGGGG